GGGCGGGAGCGGCGCCGAGGGGCTGGGCGTTGCGTAGTCAGGCTGCGCCGGACTTACCACGTGACTTCTGTGGGCGGGGAGAGGGCTACTCTGGGCCAACGTCATCGGGTTGCGCCGCCTTGTGCCACGTGATCTCGTTGCGAGGAAAGGAGTGGGTCGGACAGCGCGTCTTGGCGCCACCGCGCGGCCCCAGTGGACTGGGCCTCGTGCTTTCAGTCTAGTTTAGGTGCTCCGAGTCTGGCTAACTTCTTCTACGGGTGCTGGAACCAGTGCTGATTGTCCATGGGTGTCAAAATCCGGGATCTTGACCCAGCGGGTTTTTTATGTATATTTTTTCTATCCCCTGCCATGTTGTCTTCTGACTAGGGCCCAGAGTTGACATCCCTGATCCCTGTCCAAAACCCACATCTCCAGCATTCTCTGCATTCAGGTAGTAGTCCTGGAAAGGCCTTGAGAATCGTGGCTATGAACGCTGTGAGGCCTGGCTGGGCCTGGTTCAGGTAGAGATAAGGCACCTGCAGTTTAGTCAGAATAGGCTCCTTAGTGCCACTAGGTCCAACTTTCTGCTGTGGGCATCCAAGTTGGAAAGGCAGGGCTGTGGCGCCAGGGGCAAAGGAAGCCAGAAGTTGATGATGCCAGTAGTTAACCATTGCTTGCCATGCTGATCTCAGCGGCCAGAACTTTGTTCACCCCCGGGAGGGGAGGGGTAGGGTGGGCCAGGGTGCTCCAAGGATAGTTGGTGGAACCATTGCAGACCTGTAGGATGAGGAAGAGCACACCCAGCTCTTTCCTCCTATAATCGGAAAACATTTCAGCAGATACAATAGGAAAGGTCTTGGAAGAGACAGCAGTGAACTCCATGGGCAAGCTGTTAAGAAGGCCCTTTAGCAACAGAAAACTTAGCAAACACACAGATGAAGTGATCTGAGGGTAAAGACCAGCTGAGGAAAGGTCTTTTCAGGTGGTTTCTGTGGGTGGGAAGAGCAAGTGTCTCAACTGAGCCACAATTCTTGATAACCAGAGAACAGCTAGACACCAGAATTCCATTAAGCCCCAGAAGCCCTAAGGACCTCCACTGTTATCTAGGGTACACAAAGGCAAAATGCAGCTCTTTCATGGCTTATTTGTATAAACTAGTGCAGCAAAACTCCAAGTAGGTGTCAGAGGGTAATACTAACATTAGACCTAGATCACAAATCTTGATGAGCAAGGTCAAAGAGCTGAAGTTTTAGAAATGCCAATACTGAATACATGGGTATCACTGTGGAAATCCACACTCCATGCACCCTATTCTGCTTGTACAGAGTCCTCCCAAGTACTTTAGACTCAACTTCTGTACATAGGAACTGTGCAGCTTCTAGCCTCTCCTACTGACAGGAGTTGGGGGTGTCAAATCGCCAACATCAGGCTGAGGTGCCTGATAACCCTCCAGTCCTCTAAAACCCACTCACATCAGCTGGTTTCAGCCGGTGTGACCTGCCCTGGTATTTTCAACATTGGTGGGCTGAGGGACAGAATGGGATATACCCCAAGACTCTTTGCAAACTGGAAAGCATCATCTGGTAGGATCCTCATTTTGGGGCGAAATCTTATTTCAGCAGTCACTTTATCGCTCCAAAGACAGCTAAAAAAAATTTTTTTTTTCCTTTAATAAAAAAATCCCAGACACACTTTGAAGTCCTAGAGTAAACCATCAATAGAAGGAAGTGAATCCCCCCACGGGGGCACTGTAGAGCCAGCATCATCAGGAAAGCTCCAAGCTTCAATCTGATATTGTCAGGAGCCCACTTAAAAAATAAATTACAAAAAAGGCCGTTTGGGACGCTACAGCTGAACTGTTTTTTTCCCCTCAGGTGCAGCAGGGATGGGGCAGACTACAAATCAGTCCGAGCACTGGCTGCCTTGGGGGCATATTTAGGCATCAGTTCATTTATCTTCCGGATGTAGTCAGACTTTTCTGCACACCCTTTGCAAGTCTCCCCCCAGTCATCCAGGATCTTCTTCAGCTCTTTCACTCGGAGCTTCTTCAGGTCCACTGTGCTCAAGTCGATTTGCTTGTCTGTAATGGAGAGTAGGGAGAGAGTTAATGACTGAGTGGGAGCACCCATACTCTCTTATGTCCCATGACTGGTCACCCCCTGCATGTCAAATCATCCCTTAAAACAACCAGCCCTGGGCGGCAAGGGAAAGACATCTATAGATATATGCAGAAGTGTCAGTACCTACTGCCCCAAGAAGGAACTGACCCCTTCATTAGGACAGCTGCCTCAGACTATGAGTGTCATATACTATCAGACATGCAGTATGAAGAGGCCATATGGTCTTTAGAGGAGAAACACCACTCCCATCCTCTAAGTGCCTCTTGCACAGTCATTAGTGAATGATACCTCTAGGTTGGTGACACAGCAGATAGATCCCCTAGTCTCCATTCATAAACACAGACCTGGAGTCAGGGGTTTACTCTATGACCAGAGTGACATGGAACCAGCCAGATGGCCCTGTTATCAGGATCATTGAAAAAACAAAGCACCCTTAACAAGTGAATAAACTTAGTCACTTGGACATTTGAGGCATAATAAAAACACTTGTGTTTAAATTTTGCCGAAGAGGTCCTGATTCTTTCAAAAGATTGGGATTGTGTTTTGGCCACCAGAGGTGGTCTCAGCCAGAGATGCTATGGCTCCTGACACTCTTGGGCTAAAGATTACAAGGTCTTTAGAAGTTGCAGTAATAACCAACTTGTTAAAATAAGTAAGATCACATTCCTTCTCTGCTCAAAACTTCTAATGCGCCTAACTTCACTCAGGCTAAAACCAAAGTCCTCACCAATATGCAAGGCCCCTGTGACCTGCCTTTCTACCTGTCATGCCATTGTCTGCCTTTAGAAGTCCTACTTTCTCTGCATGGAATGTTCTTCTAGTAGCTAGCCTTTTCGCTAATGCCTGCCTCCTCCAAAGTTTGCTGACATGACACCTCCTCAATGGGACCTACTCTGACCTTCACCCACTTTGATACTAGGTTCTTCCCCATCCCATCACTGAGTGCCATCTATGCTATATACATGACTCACTGTGGCTCTAGATCACTACCTTCCATTCCAAGGTAGAAATTAAGCTCAGAGGTGCATAGCATTTGTTGAAAAAGGTCTGGTCATACTCACCATACTTTAGCTCACAGATCTGGCTATCCTTCTTCTTTAGCTTCTCACATATCTTCTCCACAGGGATGTGGTGGGCCAGGGGCTTGGATACCTCATTGATGATCTTGGTGGCTGCATCATCTGTGGCTCCTATGTAGTAACACTACAGCAAGAAAGGACAACAGTCTTCAGGGTGGCACTTAACATTTCTCTCTGTCACAGCCTCATTTTGGGTCTTAACATATGCTTGGTCTCAACTAAAAGCCACCAGATGAATTTAGAAGTCACCAGGGTTCAAAACTTTAGTAGAGAAAAACAAACCAGAGACTGCCACAGAGATTAAAGATAAAAAAGCCACTCCTCCATGGGGCTCTTGTCCTTGAAGCAGTCCTGGCCCACTCTGCAGGTATCCTGTTAACTTCTGTCCTCACACATACCATGCTCTTTCAAGCCTCAACACTCACACTGGCTGTCTCCTCTGCCTGGGATGATTCTATTCCACTTTGATGATGACCCTTCCCTCACTGATTGTTCTATCTAATCAGCATCCTCCCACCACTGAATGATCCTGGTCTCTCTTCTATATGATACCCATTTGCTGCACTGTTTGTCTGTTAGTCATTTTTCTACCCTGATGTGCCTACCTCACAGTAAGTGCTTAATAAATACTAATAAGATAAAAATATTACGCCTGAAAAATACATGCCACTTGGGTGAGGTCAAAGGCACTTCACTCCCACATTAAGTTTTCAAACAGAATAGCTGGCCCACAGTGAAGTGGAAGATAAACACGAGCCAGGGCCAGCAGAGAAGGGTCACCAGCTACTCACCAACCGATTCTCTTTGCCTCTTGCTTCACGGCAGAACTTTATAAGTTCTTTTTCAATAGTGGCTGGTGAGAATGTGACATCTCTATCTTTGAGGTCCTGGTAAAATCTTCCCAGAAAAGAAATACAAACTGGAAAAGAGAGGGAAGGGAGATGCTCAGCAATCACCAAATTGTCTCCCCATTCCAACAGGAAGAAACTCTTACAGGACACACAGACACACATCATTAGAGGTCTTTCCATCACTGTTTTTCTCTCAGGTACCCACAGGTGGACAGAACCCTGCTTCATGTTGCTGGGGTTTCTTTGTACACTCAGAGCATGCGAGAAACAAGCAACACACTCAGTGACCCATAAATGATTCTTCCCTGCTCCTTTCATCAAGTTAAGCCGAAAGTGAACACGTGTCCTTGAGACGGGGCTCATTATGACCTCATAAATGGATAGACTGGAGGCTGAAGAGAAACAAACAAAATGCTGCTCTTTTCCACGTACACCACCAAAACCCGAGGTGCAGTTTCGCAAGGCCAACAGATTGGCGCGGTACAGAGGACCGGCCTTTGGGGTCTTGGACCCGGGAGGCTCCTGGGAATCTCTGAACAATAATGAGAAGGGACAAAAACTCCGACGTGATGTGGACTTCAGGCCAATTTCTTTGTATGAGCTAGTCTCCACTTGTTTTCATCCGACCAGTGTTTTCTAGGCCTGGGAAATATTTTCTAGGCCTTTCCTCTGGTGGACCCCGCTGGGAACAGCCGCCGTCTCCCCCGCCCGCTCGATAATTTGTTGGGTTCAACGCCGTCGCGAAGCCGATCTTTGTGTGCAGACCCCGGCCCCCCGCACCTTCGCAGTCGCCTGGCCGCAGCGCCCCGCTGCCTGGCAGTACGCTCAGGGCCAGCGCCACCGCCAGCCCGTGCGTAGCCCACATCCTCCTCCGCCGCTGCCGCCCGGACTGAACCGCACCCGCCGCGCTGCGCCGCCTTGGGGTACTTGCCGCACGCCGGAGCTTTCCATTGGCGGGCAGCCCCCGCGCCCTCCCACATGCCGCGTTCTCATTGGTCCACATGCCATAGAGCCCAGACGGGCGGCTCCACGCTGCCCTTCCCCATTGGCTGGTGGTGTCTTGGCCCTAGACAGTTGTCGGCTTCCGATTGAACCTTAGCGGTCCACAGGAAGTAGCTGCGGCCGCCTCGGAAGCTGCATGGGCAGCCATATTGGATAGGGGCAGCTGCCTTAGCTGTTGCTGGAGCTGTGGGCGGAAGTAGGATCTGGCTGCCTCCCAGCGTCATACTAAATTGTCCTGCATTTCACTTGTACTTGTCCCCACGCCCGCCCGGGAGACGCTGCGGATCTCCCTAACAGGAGCCTGGACTCGTGGTGCAGGGTCAGGAGTTCTAGGGTCAGCCGAGACTCAATAGATCAAGTAGGGCTTAACAGCCGCAGACGACAAATTATTTTTCCCTTCTTGTTTTGAACAGTCACGTGGGTGAGGGAACCAACCTCTGGGAGTCCGCTGAGGCTCAGGCACCCGCCTGCCCGCCCCAGCTGGCTGAAACCTGCCTTGTCCAGGGTGGGATGTACTGTAGGTTCCCCCTGGCGGAAGGGCTCGGAGCCCATCAATCCCCGCTCATCCCGAGGCTTTGGTGTCGCCTCAGTGTGGTGGCTACGGGGTTTAGGAGGTTTGTCCTCCACTTTTGGAAGCGATGTGCATTTGCTCACAAGCTCCCGACGCATGCTTGAGCACGCTGGCCCGCCTGCTTTCCAGCTGAGCCATCAAGGCCTTTGGCTATCGAGCTACTTCCCGAGTGGGGTCCCGTGGGTCGACTGACAAGCACCAGAGGATGTGTCCTCCTGGGCTGCCCTGCTTCCAAGGCTTGGCTACCTGTCCTTGAAGGTAGGACGCGGTAAGGGCTGGCTCAGTGCTGAAAGGAGACATCTTTGGGGCTAAAAGGGCTTGGAGCCCAGCGGCAAGGGTTGGAGAAGGGCACTTGTGCTGCTCTCATTCAGTGAATTCAGTGGATCAGTATCAGGTATTCATCTTTAATTAACATCACAGCAGTCAAGGGAGTGGGAAAAGGGGGAAAAGTCAAAGTGTCAGTTATTTACATCTAAAATTCACATTACTTCTTGGATTTAGAACATGCTACCACAATATATACAGTAACTCTTGGGACACTGGTACAAATTTTTTTTTTTCTTTTAACTTTGCTTTTCTGGTACAGGTAAGATCATTTTTAAATCATTTTTTCTTTAGACATAAATACACAAAAGAAATGGTTAGTAGTGTTCTTGTTTTAAATAAGCACAGAATGCCAGAGGTTAAAAACACATTTATAGGACTGATAACCAATTGGACATCACAGTCTATACATTTTTTGCTCAAATTCCTGTACAAATACACAGCATTCAAATAAGTATTTACAAATAAGCTTGAAAGAATGAAAATCACTATTTCACAATCTTTTCAAAGAATTTTCATCTCTCATCTCCCATTTCCCCTCAGACTGGCTGACTCTCCAACAAAAAGGTTTCAGAATGTGTCCATTTCATCCAGTTAGGGAAAATGGAGAGGGAAAACATGAGTTTGTTTCACCTTCCATAAAGCAAGGCCAACAAACTTACACTTCTCTCCCAACATCCTGTGCCATCAAGTAGAGAAGGTAGATGTTCTTATGTGATGACTGCTTTATCCAGGAACTGAGGTTCTGAAGTGCCTGAAAATCTGATGTCCTCTTACCTTAGAATCAAATTCAAACCAAGTCCCTGACCATTTAACATTAATGATCCCCAGATGTCCCAGAGATTGAAGGCTGCAAGTGAATCTAGGTTCAGGCTTCTCCTTTGAACTCTGGACTGCCTTGACTGACCCCCAACCTGGGCCAGCCTTCTGCCCCACTTGGCCTGGAGTAATCCTGATGGTATCAGAAAAGCCCCACACTGGTGTTAATGCCCAGATGCTATGCAGGTAACTGGGTCTTCTATCTTTCCCTATAGGTTACTTGCTGGCATTTCTGTTAAACAAGTTGGCACTTGTTTCCAAGAGAAAAACACCCTGACCATGGCATTTTCTGTTTGAAAAGAGGGGCTGAGGAGAATGAACGAGGACCTAGAACCCAGGACCTGGTCATGAAGGCCAGATAGGCCAGTAAAAGAGGAACTGGGGGTAACCTGCCTTAACAAGGAGAAGGCAGTCTTGTGACCATCATAATGTGACCCAAGCAAATGAAAGAAAAAGTTTTGTCTCAAGACATTTTTTTTTTTTTTAAGTAACTGAGAAGCACCCTGGTAAAATACTACTATACCCACCCCACCCTATCCACCCCCAAATAATACACTGAGAGGAAAATCAGTGCCCTGATCTGAAAGAGTTTACTATAAAGACAGCACTGTGGCCTGCCAAACAGACTGGGGAGGCTGGAGAAACTGTCTTCCTGCTTGCCCTGAACCCTGAGTGGTGGTCCCCATGGGCCTGGAGCAGGGGCGCTATACTTGGCCACTTAGGAGATGATGATTTCTACTTGTATGGTTCTCTGCTTCCACAAGGAGAAGTTCTTTTCCACCTTTTTTACACAGAAGCTTGCTGAACCTGACCACATGTCCTCAGGGCCTGGAAGCCTGGCTGGGCAGCCAACCCCATGGCTCAGAGGTAGTGCTGAAAATCCCTGATTCAGGAGCTGGTGGCAAGCATTCTAGCCACTCTGAAATCTCAGAGAATTTCTGGCCCCTGCCACACCCCAGCCTCACTCTTATTCCAGCTCTAACACATGGGAAAGGGCCTACCTCTAGGAGAAAGGTGGTTAGGGTAGCCCCTCTGGCTCTATTCCTTCACTCAGACCCCAGAGGATGGGAGAAAACCTTGCAGATCCATTCACCATGGAGCCTTCTGCAGGTCATGAGGGGTATCAAATGGAAGGGAGCAAATGATCAGAAATAAAATGATGGAGAGAAAAGTCCAAGGTGGTGTAGGAGACAAGGCTGGCCCATGAAAACTGGCAGTGTGCCTTGGGCATGCAGGTAGGCCAGTCACATGCCTGAGCTGGCAAGTCGTCCTACCCATACCCTCAGTTTGCACACTCCTGGATGGAAGAGTGGGCAGGTGGGCAAGCATTTGTGCAAAATGGCTTGTGGCCCATTTGTCCACCTGTGACATGTAGTCCATGTGGTCCTTGCAATCCCTGAATGCAACCATTAACTTTTCTGTCCATACAGCAAAAGAAGAGGTCCCTAGTGCAATTTCCATTCTGTGCGTCTCTGCCCTGAAGGGAGGGCTGGGGCTTCTGCTCTTGGGCCCTGTGGTGCTGCAAAGCAGTTCTGTGCAATATCTCCATGTAGCTCCACACAGTCTGGAACTATAGGAGGAAGAAAGCATCTACTGCATAAAGAAAAAAAAAAAAAAAAAA